AAACGTGATGAAAACATAATCCACATTCTAAGCTCTGTATCTATTGATATTACAAAGAACAATGAATATTTACTTTAATAATAATTTATGATCGTTATTCCACATTTGGAAATTGTAAAAAAAAAAACTGTGGCCAATTTTCATTTTCATTAATCTAATGGTGATGGTATTTTTTTAAATTCCTTTTATTTTTAAATCAAAGTAGAGAGAAACACAAAAGCATAAAACTGTACTATTACTTTTAAATTACTTTTAGTTACTTAGTAATCGATTTAACAAACCAAAGAACCCACATTATTCCAAAATATAAATATCAAACAGGACTAAAATAAATAAAATAATACATAAAAATACGGATAATAGCTTTAAATGCGGAACTAGTTTTTTTTATAGTGGGGGCCTTATTGCTTTTTGGCGTTGAGTAAGTTTCTCTTGATTTAAATGTGTTTATCTTATCTAGGTTCTTATCTTGAGTTCAATACGTTTTAAGATGACTTCTTCGTGATACAACATTACTTTTAAATGCAGTATGAGCTACTCAGATAAGACAATTGATATTTTTGTCAATACCAAACAGAAATGAATCATACGATCCGTTTTGAAAGTAAAATGGCTACTTGTATATGCATGACTTTTGCTTTGGTTTATGGATTGTACTTCCTCTGCATGAACGGAGGTAATATTTTGCCAAACTAGCGAAAATACTGTATTAAAATGTAAAAGTATTTGATGTGCATTTTTTATAATACTACACACGCATTTGAATCTGGAAAATGATCCACGTTTTAATTTGTTTGGGTTTCACGTTGAATGTTCTTGGGTTTACTCTGCTCGTTGAATGTTAACTAAGTCTTACTATGCTCACATTAAAACACATATTGCATTCGGCATTTAATTATATGGTGCAACAACCATTCAAAATTTAAATAGTATATTAATTTTACAAAAGAGACCCATACGTATCATGTTAAACGTAGGAGAAAACCAATCGGCAAAACATTATTTTGCTAAATTAAATATCTTTACAGTGTATGGATTATATTTATAATACTATAAAAAAATCTAAAAAGTGAAATGAATACACATACACCTCCGAAATTGGGAATGACACATAATTATAATACTCTGCATTGGAACTACCCAGCCATTCAGAGGCATAACTTAATAAAAAAAAACACCGCTGCAGGTACTAGGTTTTGTTATGCTCTACTGTACCTTAAGATATAATAAAAGCTAATAATATTAATACATTTAAAATAAATTGAAAATATTTATAATAAGCAAATGTTACTACTCATTTAGTAAGCATTTTAATAATATTTAATTGAATTAATTGTATATATTGGCGCCATTCTGTATTTATATTTGTATAATGTAAATCTTGAATAAAGTGTTTCTGAATCTGAATCTGAAACGTCTAACCTATGAAAATAGCATAGCTGAAGTCTGTAAACATACCAATTTTGTTTGTCAGTTAGAAACATGTATTTCTTTGAATTATACTTACTTTCTATGACAAAATGCGCTTGTTGTCTTAATACCATATGATCTTTTTAGACTTTTACTTGTACCACAAAAAAGAGCCAATGTTTTAATGAAGTTATATTTTTTCACGGTTACTGATTTATTTAAATATGTTCGCAAAGGCGTTTAGAGAATCGGAACAACAATTTGGGAGGATTTAAATCCTCCCAAACCCGTGGATAACACTTTACTTACATCACATGTAAGACGTTCATATAAAGAAATAACTTATTTTAAAATGCGTTAAAACACGATAAAGATTTTTCAGCAAAATGAGGTACAACATATTAGAATAATATATACCCATGGAAAAATTATATGAAGGAGGAAATCAAATACATGAACTATTTTAAATGGAACTTAATGCATTGTCATAATTTCCATTGACCAATTAGCATTCCTTTGCAGATACTCGTATAAAATGTATCATTAACTATTAACTCAGAAGAAAGATACAAGTAACGACCCATATACATGCTTATATTTTGATTTCAGTGTTTTATGATCTTTATTTATCACACCTGGCAGCCATCAAGGTAGCAAGTAATCAAAAATGATTCTTCTTTTGAAATAACAAGTCAAACTTTTCAAGGAAAGTTTTTTTTTTTTAATATAAAAGAAGACACTGATGGACAAACTGATTTACAACGTCTGGTTTGCAAATGAATTGGTTACTTGTCTATGCATGACTTTGGCGTGGCTTATGCATGGGTTGTATATGAAAATGTGTTCCATCCGGAATAACATGTGAGCCTTATATAGATAGTTTAAGAATAATAGTTGAAAACCTGTGTCTCTGAACAAACCCTATCAAGATTTGTCAACCATGTATTCCTATACTGAATAAACTGGTATCCCTAATTAAGTTCAAGGCATCTATTCATAACCACCACATGACATTTCAATTAGCATTACATTATATATCCTGAGAGGATAACTAAAAAACCTAAACATTTCGCTATAGAAACTAGCGAATGACGTTCTCTCTGCCCTTTAGGATGATTGTTTTATTCATAAAGTAAAGGGAAGTCGGGTTATCAAATGGGTCAAATTCACGATATTTTTGTTTTTATGTGGTTTGATTTCTGTAGTTCTTTCTGGTTAATTTGATACCTTATTTATTAAAATCGGATGACCAGGAATATATTTCAATAAATAAAACGTAATTCCCTGCAAGAACGCTCGCAACCTCGCAAGAAGCCCAAATACTAACCCCGCTTAACGTCTACTTTATAAAAATAGTATATTACTTATTTTATATAATGATTTAATGTTTCCAGTATGCACTGGTAACACCTTATTGACAATAGGTTCTACGTTTTTACTCTTTGTTGCTTTTTGTGTTGTTTAGTTTATGAGTTGAGGTAATTTTTATCTTGTAGGTGTTGTTTTTTTTTTTTTTTGTAAGAAAGGTATTTAATTTTTATCTAACATGACTTGTAGGAGTACTTTCTTCAAGAAACGAGCTAAAGTTTTCAATGTAAAGATAAATTCAGGGGGTAATTTGTAGCACCTACAACTGAGGTTAGTGTTGATCAGTGACAAATCCCAGGACAAAAAATGTCTGCATGGGTGGAGCCAAAATCCCAGTAAATCTCTAAACTATTTAATTAGGTCTTTGATCCCTAAAGCCACATTTGGAGTCTTGAACACCTTAGAGCTTGGTGCATATGATGCTGTAGCTACCTACATAAAGGTAGCTATAATAAAGGGAACATTAAGTCCCAAATACTGCATAAACTAGGGATCCAGGCTCAAATTTTGTGAAGGTTATGGAAAAGTTTGACGAACCTTAAATGCAGGTACATCTGACACCCTAATCTATTATTACAAATATTAGTATTATTAAAATTATTATAAAAATATGATTGTAATAATACACATTTTTCCAACATTCTGCAATCTCCATAGTTACATGTTTCTAGATTATTAAGTATCAAGAAAAATTCAAGTAAATTGTTTTCTACTCATGACTAACAGGTCTGCATTTCAAGGTAACATTTAAATTGCATAAAGACCGATCACGACAATGCCTCTGAAGAATCGGGACCGCCATCTTCCGCCATCTCCTACCCCGGACCCAAATCCTCCAAAGTCCAGGATCCAAGATACAGGAGAATCCCCTATTCCGCTTCGACCAGGAGTCAACCTTCTACCTCAGCCCTTTCGACCCCAGGATTTGGACGAGGATGACGAGAAAACAGCGAGACCTCATCGACCTGCACCTATCGTAAACCGCTAGAAAATATCTGTTGTGGAGTGGCTTAGATGATTATACAAATGAGACATGCATTCAAAATCTTTTTTGCAAGTTTTAAACTAGCCTTTGGGTGTGATTAACTAAGCAATTTTGTGTAGTTGTGGTATTAAAAATGAAAACGGAACTATTTGAAAATATCAATCAATTCATTAATTGTTTACTATCTACAAATTTAACTAATAAAATACTATAGGCTAATAAATAGCTCCAAAACCACAACGATGATACATATATATTTATTGTATCCTTTATTAGTTCAACTTGATGTTAATTAACGTGTATAAATCTATGAAAAAAAAATTATAAAAGACAGTAAAAATGGAAAGTAATTTGAAAATAGCTTAATCAATTACTTTTCATTTGTTATGAATAACTAAGTGTTAGGCTAAAAATGAGATGTATGCTAGGCTATGTTGTTGAACAATTTGAGTTCAATTGGACCTTTTAAAATAAATTTTAATAAAAAAAATTCAGTATGGGTTGTCACGTACTAATGACGGTTTTAGGAAACAATCCAAACATATGTTAATAACAAGCCATCTACAGTGTACTAGCGAATTACAAAATACAGTACCATTGCGCATAGAACACTTAGATTGTATTACCACAGATTAATGTACTTCCTAATATTAAAAGATATCATGGAGAATTGGTTTAAATACAACTGTTAAAATACGTAAAATATTTTACAGCAAAACATTTGACATATTGAACTTAAGACTCTTGCTTTAGTTTTCGACAACGCGTCCCACGATCCTTATTGCGTTGTTTCGCTACAAAAATAACTAACGGACTACAAAGATGTTTCACAGCCGATGTTACATATAATGAGATTGTTGTTGGGTCATTGTAGAGATTTTCTGTATAGATTACACGTTCTAATAAAAATGTTGAATTTAGAAAAAGTGGCTTTACAGAATCATTATTCTAGAAAATGAAAGTAACACAACAAAACAAAAACACAAAAGAAACTTAACAGAAAATGGGAATTATTTACTGATGAAACCAATGATTATTATAGTGTCGTAATAGTTGCTTAACCAGAGTTAAAAATTATTTGTTTTGTTAGATTTTATTTAGGCTCACATTTAGGAATCAAAAGGCTAGTAGTTTTGCTATTTAGTACTATCGTGATTGTATTGTTGCGGAATCTTCCAAAGAGTGTTGGTGTAATTAAATTAAATAGTTTGTAACAACTATTTATCTTTTGTTTCAGATTGCGAGTTGAAGGGCGGAAAAGAAAATGAAGCTTCGTCAAGGGGTGTAAAGTACAAAGTATTCAAAACATAATGGAATAAAAAATCTAGATAATTAGTGATATTTTATAGTCGACTACACCTATACATATTGAATATAAAACCAATTGCGTCCGGGAGATAAAAGTAAATATATCAGTTTATAGACGTATTGCTCAAAAAGGTATTAATCAGTGCTTGCGGACTTAAAAAATAGAAGTAAAATGAGATTTTAATAAAAAATGCAACTTTATTGCGTATTGCTATTTATATAAACCATAAATAAATTAGGAAAAGTATCAACTGATTTGTAGTATTACCGTTACAGTAAAAAACAATTAAGTTAACTACAATTAAAAAGATGCAGTTCGTTTACACGTGTCTCGTGCTTCTTGCGTTTCCCGGTGGGGTGATATTAGGCTGGGGACAGCAAAGGAATCAGTCGGGGGTAAAAATCGGCACAAATTACCGTCAGTTAGGTGTTACTGGACCGACAAACGTAAGGGGTGGGAGCGGGATCAAGCTAGGAAGTGCGGGGAAGTCTCATAGGAACTACAGCAAGCCTACAACGCCCCCTCCACCGGTTACATTCCCCCCACCACCACAACCGCTGCCCCCTCAACCACCACCACCACCTACAAGCTACTCATCTAGCAGACTTCCTATGCTGAATGTAAGCATATAAGTGTTAATTAACTCTTAATTTAGACAAACAATTAATTTATTTGTTTTTAGCGAATTACCTTATAGGGAAGTAGCTATTACCGAAGGTATCACGGTAATACTTGAGGCTGGGACCGATTTACTTTTTCATTTTAATGTCTCCAGAGGCCAAAAACACAATTCGTTCATTTTTTTTATATGTTTATATATATACATGTGTGTGTCCGTGAATGCGATAACTTGAGTAATTTTCGTTCGACTTTGATGAAATTTTGTTTGAAGGTGTAAGGAGCGATAATCATGAATGAGTTCGTGAACCATCATGATCGGATGATGGTAACGGGGTTTAACGGGGGGTTTTATGGGGTAGAAATTGTTTTTTCTTTTGACCATTTTTATTTTTTGTTTTTTGATCAAAACACAAAATTTCCGAATTTAATTCTAGACCATTTTAAAGAGATAAAAAGACAAATACTTTAGTATATTAAAGTGTTTTTGTATTGTTATTGGTTGGGGGGAAATAAAAAAAAAAAAAATTAATTTAAAATTCCCATGTTATTTTAAAGGAGAATTTTGTTAAATGTTGTAGTTTGCTTGTTTATGGGTATACTTTGATAAAACTTGGCTAATTTATTTATTATATACTAAGCTATTAATATTTTACCAAAACACACATTATTAGCCTCCCTGAAGCAGCAAACCTAGGTAATCATGTTACCTAATATTTATTTAAATATATTTAATTGTATATCAATTCAAGCAAATATAAATTATATTTCCTTAGTAGGTTTCTTAATCTTATTTGTGTCTTTTTCAATTCAAATACAAGTTACCGGCAGCAAACCTCAATTAAGGCCACGAAGCAAAACATGCTTTTTATTTTGTTAAGGGAATAATCCTTTTCTCATGAACCTTGAAATAGAAATAAATAGTCAATAATTGAAGAATTCATTTTTTTACAGGATAACTGAAATAAAAAGTTTAGTATTAGGTTAGTTTTAATAGGTTTTAATGCAAGACCTTTTATATCATACAAATTAATTTTTTAATTTTTTTTTAATTAGACTTTGTTTGATTTACTTACCTTTTTGCAACATTTAGCAGGACATCGTTCCCTAATATTGATACTTCGAAAATGTTAAGGCAAAAGATAAAGTTTACCTATAATATAAAACGGCTGAAAATAATATTTTAGAAAAGGGTTCGTTAGCTTAACGAATAAATTGTCACTTGGGATTGCTGATGCAACTCATTGTGGGAAACTAGGTCGCATATTTAGCAATCTCTAACTAACGACTATGCAAATTTATAAAATGTATGTCAATTTTAATTGATGGTCTAATTAGTTAATTTAAGCTACTTTTGTTGAAACGTGAGTTGTATGTACATATTTTAATTGTGTTTTGTAGGATAACAGGCTATTAAACTTGTCTTATTTGGTTGGAATTACTGTTTCAATCCAGCGTTGAATATAGCTATTATTGTAAATGTTTTTTTATTAATACTACAAACTGTTTTAGGATGGACTCATGCAATTCGCAGCATATAAGTATTTCACGTGTTCTACAGTAAACTTTCTATTTAAACATACATTCAGATAAATTTATGATTGAGTATGTTTATCGAGGAGAAACTAATATTAAAATAAGATTCTTTTAACATGAAATAGTATTTATATTCCTCAGAAATAGCACTGTAAATGAACCCCTTAAGTTGAAAATCAATAAGAACATTTCATTTTTTTCCGTTTAGCTTGTGTAAATTGTTGGAATTTATTTATAATCTTGTTCATCATTGCCTTCTTGGTACTAAGTTAGAAGCTGTCATGTGTTAATTATATGCCATGTGTTTTCTATGTTTATTTATTTGTAGTAAATAAACATCACTTCCACTATGGACTTTAGAAACCATACTGTGTAGTCATTTTACTCCTATTATTATAAAGGAAAATCAATTATAAACAAGTGGTTATGGGCCCAGTTTCACTTTTATTGTAACATAGGCTATTCTCTGTGGCCTATTTTGAACTGTTTAATTTTTGAGGGAAGTGTTTAAGAAATATTATAGTAAATTTCATTGAATGAACACTTATTAATTACTATGATGGGAGACAAAGTTGTATACTCCACATCAGCCCCTGGAATTTCTAAGTTGAAAGGGTCAGCCAACGATGACAGTTGGAAATTTGATATGAAGATGGTTCTAAAGTACTAGGGATTGTGGAATTGCATTGAACCACGAAGGACTACTACAGAGACGACACCGCTAACTGTGGATCCAGACAAAGATGAGAGGGCACTCGCCAAGATTGCCATGCACCTGGAGGCAGCTCCAAAACTACATATCAGGACGGCCACATCAGCGAAGGAAGCATGGGACATTTTAGCAAAGCAGTATGAAGTCAAGAGCACAAACAGGAGAATATTCCTGCTGGACCAGCTTTTAGATTTGAAGTTGGAAGTATGCAACAGCATGAGTGAGTATATTTCTAAATTTCTTGACCTCAATGCTCAACTTGCTGACATAGAGAAGCCCGTGGACGATGAAATGAAGGCGTGTCTACTTCTAAGAGGTTTGCCTGAGTCTTACAGGGCATTTAGGATGGCAGTCGAGAGTACAGATAAAGTAGAATATAGTAAAGTACTAGAAAAATTAAATAGCATGGCTGAAAAAGATACCACTGAGTCCTCCGTAGTATTTTCAACTTTTAAAAGCAATACTGGGAAGCCTTTTCTATCAAAATCAAATACTAATCAAGCTAATTCTAATAAAAGCTCAAAGACAAGGAAGCCTTTTATTCCTACTTGTTACAAATGTAGAAAGACAGGCCATATGATAAGGGATTGTCCTGAAAATAATCAAGCTAATATTAGTAATAGCTCAAAGATAGGGCCAATTTCCAAAATTGGTAAGTCAGATGGTCAAAACAAAAATAAAAATTTAAGCTGGATAACTGCTCTGAGTGTAAAGGTAGAACCTGAAAGCTGGTACTTAGACTCGTGTTGTTCTGACAATCTTTCTAAAAGTAAAGAAAGTTTTCAAACGTTTAACTCGAATGAGGGAGTTAAAGAGGTCACTGTCGCTAATAATACCAAAATTTACTCTGCAGGTTCTGGGAAAGTTTCTGTGAACCTTAAAAACTTTGGTGAGAGAGTGATATCGAATGTGACGTATGTACCAGATTTATCTACAAATTTGCTATCTGTGAGCAAAATAGCTAGTAAAGGGAAAGTTTTAGTTTTTGATGACAAAGGGTGTAATATTTACATAAAAGATGGGTTTTCAGTAAGAGGTGAAATCTGTGGAACTGGAACAAATGTAAACGGACTGTATCGGTTGGATACAGAGAGTAAATGCAACATTGATCCAAATTATGACAATTTGGCTATGTCTACTCAAGTTGACCAGTCAGTTAGTGTGGACCTTCATAATTTATGGCACAGAAGGTTGGGTCACTTGAATCATGTTAGCATGGGTATTTTGAAAAAGGGGATGGCTTTGGGTATCGATTTTCCTAATCAGAGGCCAGAATCTTGCATTCCCTGTGTAGAGGGGAAACACTCCAGAGAATCTTTCCCAACCACTCCAAGTAAGAGAGCTGAGGCAAAACTAGAGTTAATCCATATGGATGTCCGTGGGCCTATAAATGTTCAGTCTCTTCAAGGTAATCGCTTCATGCTAATATTTATTGATGACTTCACCAGAATGACCTTTGGTTATTTCTTGAAATCAAAGGATGAAGTAGTTGATTGTTTTCTCAAGTTTAAGACTTTAGTTGAAAATCAGACCAACCAGACTGTAAAAACTGTTAGGTCAGATGAAGGCGGGGATTACATGAATGTGAGACTAGAAGAAGTGTGTAATAGATTTGGAATAAGGCACCAGGTTACTACTCGATATAGTCCTGAGCAGAATGGGGTAGCAGAGCGTGCAAATAGAACTATTATTGAAAAAGCTAGAAGCATGCTAAGTGACTCAAATTTGAGCAAGGGTTACTGGCAGTATGCTGTGGAGGCAGCTATTTATCTTAAGAACCGAAGTCCTACAAAAGCTGTTTTCGGAGTCACTCCACAGGAGAAATGGACTGGATCGAAAGTGGACCTCAGTCACCTTAGAGTTTATGGGTGCATAGGCAATGCACATGTGCCTAAGGAGAGAAGGACCAAATTGGACTATAAGAGTGTTCCTCACATTTTTGTAGGTTACAGTGAGGATGTCAAAGGTTACAAATTGGTCGATCCTAAGTCTCCCCGTAGATTGATTTATTCTAGAGATGTCAAGTTTTTTGAAAACTTATTTTATAATGGGCGTGAAGAAAATAATGGTGATGAAACTATACAACCAGTCGAGACCATAGCAAGCATCCAGACCGCCAAACTCGATGAACCCTGCAGGAATCCTGAGGCAGAAGAGGAGAGCTTCATTCTTGATAATATCAACATTGAGCAAGATGATGACGATGTTGGAACTGGAGGATCCGCTGAAGGGAATTCGGGAAATGATGAGGAAGGTGTTGAAATTAATGTTGGGAGTAGGTACCCTCTAAGAGTAAGAAAACCTCAAATGTTTCCTGATTTTGTTACCTACATGGTTATCTGTGAGGATCTAGAGCCAAGTAGTTATCAAGAGGCAATAGAAGATCCAAATACGAATTTGTGGAAGCATGCTGTGGAGGAGCAAGCTGATGAAGAATCTCTACATGGTTTTGTTGATGCCAGTCATGGAAACAACTTTGATGGGAAAAGTTGTACGGGATATGTTTTTAAACTGAGTGAAGGAATTGTGTCTTGGGGAAGTATGAAACAGAGATGTATGACTGATTCCTCAACAGAGTCAGAGTTTGTAGCAATGGTTCAGGAAGCAATGTTTCTGAAGCACTTGTTGGAAGAGCTGGGAATATTTCTTGAGCATGTAAATTTGCATTGTGACAACATGACAGCAATGAAGATTTTGCAGAAGAGAACCGTGAATGACAACACCAAACATATAATTCGTAAACAGTTATTTGTC